TTCTTCTGAATAACCAAGAGGCCTGATGTGATGATATTTGGCCAGTACCATGCTGGGATAAAGGGCTACTAAGATTGTTCAAATGGATGACTTTCGCCCATATTCAAGGTCACAGGGGTGAATTGTCTTAAAAACCTTTAAACATCTTCTTATGTTAAACCAAAAGGTATGTTAAACCAGAAGCTCCAGGATGATGATATTTGGCCAGAAGTGTGTGGGGATGAAGAGCTACCAAATTTGTTCAAATGAATGACCTTTATCTAGATTTAAGGTTACAGATTGTCTTGAAAACCTTCAAACGACTTCTACTGTATAACCAAAAGGTCCAGGGTGATGATATTTGGCCAGAAGGATGTTGGCATGAAGGGCTACCAAGTTTGTTCAAACAAATGACCTTCACTCAAATTCAAGGTCACAGGGGTCAATTGCCTAAAAAAACCTTTAAACGACTTCATCTGTATAACCAAAAGGTCCAGGGTGATGATATTTGGCCAGTACCATGTGGGGATGAAGGACTACCAAGTTAAAATATGTTGAAATCTTCAAACGACTTTTTCTGAATAACTAAAGCATACAGGATGATTGCTTGTTGATGTGAATGACCTTGACATATTTTCGTAGTCACATCTGGTCCAGGGTGCATAAATCTTTAAAAGTCTCAACAAACAAAAGGTATAAGATGGTGATATTTTGTAAGTTGCATTCTGGGAGGAAGGGTTATGAAGTTTGTTCAACTTAATGTCCATGTTTGACTTTCAAGGTCACAGGGGTCAAATGTGTTTTAATCATTAAACAGGTTCTTCTGAATGACCTGAAGTCAAATGCAAGACACTGATATTTTGCCTGTGGCTTTATTTTAGTCCACTTTTAAGGTTACAATTGTGAGATTAATACCAGGTGAGTGATGCAGGCCCATTTGGGCCTCTTGTATTATAAATTAAAGGCTGAGACAAATCAGTTTTATTGCTTGGATATCGATAATTCTGGGATGAAATTCCTTGACTCCAATCTATAAATCTGACAAAGATGTTCCAACATTGGAGGCAGATGCTAGCTAATTAGAAATCAATGTCGGACTGCCAGTGATACCCAGTTATTAAATATTAATACTGTCAATGTGAAAATTGATAAGGTTGAGTGAGTTTCGTGAGACTTTTATTTATCTCAGTGATTCCTTTTCTTTGGTACTCAAATTTTGTCGTCAAACAAACCGAAATGTGATTGAGTAGGGTTTGATGTATCACTAGATAGAAATATTGTTTCTGCAAAGACTGTCTCGAGTGAAAATCCCTAATGATATATGTATACCAAAGCACTAAGATATTTACACCAGCAATAAAATGATTTAACATCCATCTGTTGTTGGTAAGTGCTCCGTTGTAATATAATAGGTACAATGTGTATGTACAGGTAAGTCATCTCGTTAATGTATGACAGAACCTGTAGCTGTATGTATAGCTAGTACACATTATACCTGTGAGTTCTTGGAATTTCATTTTGTAACAGGATGTTATGTAACTAGGGGGCTTGTTCAACCTTCGGCCTATTTACCAGGATTTAGATGTTACTCTGATCTGTAATATACATATATTGTACACACCAACAAATTGGGGAGAGTTTGTCAGCTATCTTGTCTAGTTATTGTATACACTTACCATATACCTGGTATAAAATATACAGTGGAATCTCGATTAAGCGACCAACCAAGGGAAATTAAAAAAACGGTCGTTAAATAAAAGTGGTCGTTTAATAAAGTTTGACCATATCTTGTACACACAACTGACTATAACCAAATGACTCCTTATTCAGACAACTGTAAACAGACCACCGCCTCAGAACTTTTTATTTTGTGATAATGCAAGCTGTCAACACAATCCTTTAACATTTACGTAATGTCTGTACAAATGGCTTTCCTCAGCAGGCACATGTATTCTAACATTTAAATTACTATTGCATATTAACTTTTATCCAATAAAATAGTATGATAAAATCTTGTTAGATGTATAAACACAATATATATGTATGCGTACCTATTAAAAAGATATTACCTTTATCGTATTGCTGTTGACTGCAAAGTACAAACTGAGGATGGGGACTTTGGGTCAGGGTCAAAGGATATTAAATTAGCTGATTTGTATATTCATGTATATAGATTTGCTTTATTTCTCCTCTCAAACTACACTGCATGTATAATCAATTCAAGGTTTTTGTGCGATAACTTGAGTTCCCTTGGGTTGATTGAACTCAAACTTCATACAGTGCTTCCTTACTAAAACTGCTTGCTTGGGATTGCTTTTCAGGTCCAAATGTCAAGGTCACTGTTATTATAAATAGAAAATCTTTTTCTGTACGATGACTTGAGTTTTTGAGGTCAATCGAGCACAGACTTCATACACTGCTTTCTTACTAATAGCCCCCTAGTCGCTGCACCTTTCCGTGTTGGAGGGATTGAGTACCTCAATGACCTGAATAGCTATGCTGGTTGGGGCTGTGTGCTCCTGGCAGGGTCACCCAAGCCAGACAGATTGAAAGGTAGAGGTCAGACCAAGCAGCACCGTCCTTTGGCCGGGACGCAAATGCTAGGTTTGCACCGTTGTGCATTCCTTCCTGGGGGTTTGGTATACAGGTGTCCGCCTTCGGCCAGCCCTTTGTGCATTCCTCTGGAACGGTCGGGCCGTGGTAAATCCTCAGAGTCCCATGTATATAGTGTAGATATTGTTACTGTCCATTTTCCTTTCTCTTTGTCATTTCTCTTTTTTTTCTTCCTCTTTGTTCTTTCTCCTTTTTCACAACTTTAAAAATTGGTTCAGCATTTGTTTTTGTCGACCATTTGTTGGCCCTTATGACCAATCCTGTGATGATGGGCCATTAAGCATTGATAATAATAATAATAATATTCGCATTGATAATAATAATAATAATATTCTTACTAATAGTGCTTGTTTGATATTGCTTTTCAGGTCCCAAGGTCAAGGTCACTGTTACTATAAATAGAAAATCTGTTTCTGTGCGATAACTTGAGTTTTTTAGGTTGATCATGATTGAGCTTAGACTTCATACAGTGCTTCCATACCAATAGTGTTTCCTTGGGATTGCTTTTCAGGTCTGAAGGTCAAAGGTCAAAGTCACTATTACTCTAAACGGAAAACCTTTTTCCCTGTGATAACTTGAGTCACTGTTAATTTAAATAGATCCGGCCATTAGAGTTGCCTGCGCCGGTGACACATCCACTCCTATGTGGAATTCTTGTATTTAGCACATGGGACTTAAAATCAATATGAATAAAAGGACTGGGACTGATTCCCCTCCTTCAGTTACTGAAGGAGAGCTGGATCAAAGGGATTAAAGATTAAATTGCTTTAAATGATATCTACTCCAAAACTAATGAGCAGATTTCAATCCAGTTTTTGTTTTTATAGTATTATCTTTAGCTCATGAGATTAAAAAATTATGGAAAAAGGAACTCCGACTGTAATTCCTGGGGGCTGGGAGAGTTGAGATCAAAAGTGGTTAAATTGACTTATTTTGTCATTGCCTAACTTGAAACATTTTAGTAGTTTCATTTCAAACATTTAAACATTTCTTAGGGCTCTCCTCCAAAATTGCTTGGCCGTTTCAATATCATTTTCAAAATAACAAGATTTAGAGTTATTCAGGGCCTAATGGTCTCTGGTTTTTGACTCGGAATACTTTTTTTTGGTATTTTCTGGTCTGAAATGTATGTCACTGTTATGAAAGCTGTCAGATTGATGTATATAATGTATATAGCATAAACCTTGTAGCCAGTGTGTTGTCAATAACATTTACACCTAGATTTAAAAAATGCTCTACTTCTATAGGAACTTACGTAGCTATAAGCTATAAGCTGTAGTTAAATGCTCTACTTCTTTAGGAATCCTATATATGTGACATAAATGTAGCTATAAGCTGATGATCGCTGTACCTTGACAAAGTTGTAGGATTGAATGTATAGTACATCATCTGTATATTGTTATTACTAGTTGTTATCGGATTTACTGCTGTTTGGACATAATGGTTTGGTGTATGATATATACTAAACATATTACACCAAACATGATTATATAGCTATAGGGGACTTTTATAGGCAACATCAATACCAGAACTATAAGTCAATGTTTTGAAGGAAGATGATGACTAAGAAATACTCATGATATACTTGTCATTCAAAATAAATTTAGCAAAATAAAAGATTTATAATATAAATCTATACAGAAATGTATGTATTAGTTAAATTTGTCTGTTGATGATGTATAAGAAAAGTATCCTGCAGGTTGATTGTTAATAACTTTCTGAAAAAGCGATGGTTTGATTTAAGTTTTTAACCTTTGGTTTATGTATATATGTTACTGAAGTGTCCAAATTAACATTGTAGACTGTATGATATTACATTTTGTACATGTAGTTTGAACTATAGTACTTTCATGATCACTACTGGTTTTTTTTATAAATAAGAATTATTTGTCAGCTTTATCTGTTGATTTAAACTGACCAAAGATTTACCGTATGTTTATTGTTATAGTGATGTAGCAGTGTATCTGCTCTGGGATCGCTGTGTACTTAAGCACCACAGACGACATCAGTTCGATTCCAAGATTTATTCTGGGTGTCGAATAAACCCTTTAACAACAATATAACAGTACATTAAAACTAATTCTCAAACTTACACTACCTGAACGAGTTATGAACTCGTCCAAATCTAACACGACCGGTTAACGCACTCAGTACAAACAGGCTTCACTATACAAGTACTACTAAAGTACAATACCGGATAACCCAGTCGCTATCATACATTACAGAGTCAACGCTCGTATGCTATGAATTACAATACATAATTCACTCTGTTAGTTAGTAATACAATATATATACATATCACGTTGTCGCATTGAAATTGACTCAATTACAGCACTTATGTTTATAAGAAATGCACAAAATTACGAATACTGTAAGTTACACTAAATACACAAATTTATACATTAAAGCAACAACCTACCTCTTCAAAAAGGGAAGTGGGCTAAAGGGACACAACCCGTGGATGACGGTATACCAGGCCACAGAACGAAACGTAAGGATCTACAAATTATGTTAAATAATTAGCAAAGATAACAAAAGTTAACTTTAACCAGAATTTAGAAAACAATTATAATGAATGAAATATATCTCAACACACCTCTTCTGAATAATGTAAAAGATAAACGTGAACTCCAAACAATATGAAATTCAAATTACAAAAGATCGATTCACTCACAATTCAACAGAGAGCCTACTAAATATAATTCAACATCGATCTTTACCAGATGATACAATTACAATAATCCTAAAAGGTACTTATTTACAATATAGTTAATGTACAACATGATCAGTACTTACAATAATTTCCAAGTACAAAGGATGAAAATGGCCTCTCTCAATAAAACCCAACCATCATCATACAAAGTCCACAGGTGTGTGAATCTACCGCGCGCCTTCCGCAATGCCCACTGGGCATTCAGATAAAAATAGATTCGCCCTTTGACATAGCAAAGAACCGGTTTATAATACATAATGAAATAAGACATACACTTGCGTCACAAAACACCGGACCGGAACTTGCACACTTCTATTAAAAATACAATAAACGGTCTACAAAATTGTACCCTACTACAGTGACACAAAGTGTTATATTGCTTTCTCACATTTGTTGAACAAGAGTTATCTTAGGGATTGTCTTATGAGGGGTATCAAAAGGGGTTGTCTTATGAGGGGTACCAAAAGGGTTTGTCTTATGAGGGGTATCAAAAGTGTTTGTCTTATGAAAGGTACCAAAATGGTTGTTTTATGAGGGGTACTAAAAGGGTTTGTCTTATGAGGGGTAACAAAAGGGTTTGTCTTATGATGGGTACCAAAAGGGTTTGTCTTATGAGGGGTACCAAAATGGTTGTCTTATGAGGGGTACCAAAGGGGTTTGTCTTATGAGGGGTACCAAAAGGGTTGTCTTATGAGGGGTATCAAAAGGGTTTGTCTTATGAGGGGTATCAAAAGGGTTTGTCTTATGAGGGGTACCAAAAGGGTTTGTCTTATGAGGAGTACCAAAAGGGTTGTCTTATGAGGGGTACCAAAAGGGTTTGTATGAGGGGTACCAAAAGGGTTTGTCTTATGAGGAGTACCAAAAGGGTTGTCTTATGAGAGGTACCAAAAGGGTTTGTCTTATGAGGGGTACCAAAAGGGTATCTAAACTGGATGTCAACATGTACACCATAACATCAATATACTGATGTCATGCAGTCAGTCATCCTGCTGAAGCTACAATGATGTATTCCTCCAACATGTAACAAAAGGTCTGTAGGGCCTTAACCATATGTACACCTTTATATAGCTACAGTATATTACAGGTACTGTAAGAATAAAACTGAATAACATTCTGTATAGAGGATCTGTCATTCGTTTCCCTTCATATTAGATTGGCAGGCTCGCAAATATGAAAAATCCAAAACGAGTATCATTCAGCTTCACAATGACATGATGTCATATTGATTGTTCCTATTCGATTGCGACGTCATTTGCTGGGTGATATTACACGTTACATAAACATAATTTATGTGATGGCTTTAAGACACTGCATAACACGGTATTCATATGATAAATATATTTATTATACCTCTACTTTATTTACTCTATATAAAAGTAATTGGTTAAATCGGATATATCCCCACTTTTGCCTGACTGTGTTTTAGTCCTGTGTGTTAGCCTGGGAACTAAACCCCCTCCTCACTCGGGTGTTTCCGCCGAGCCAATCAGGCGAGAGGTGGGCAGAGCTTGTTACCGAACTCAGAAGCATTTGGCTCCATTGCCATCAAAGGGTAGTTGGGACGTAAAGCTGTACAGCTTATGGTTTACAAATATTTTCTTGTTGAAACTATCTCTCCAGTGTGTATCAGTATAATAAAACGGTTAAAATATGGGGTTGAGGGATATAGCAAGTTTCTGGTGTCCCTTGACCATGCCTATTTCCCTCGGCTTCGCCTCGAGAAATACCTGGTCTCGGGACACCAGAAACTTGCAATATCCCTCAACCCCATACTTTAACTGTATAATAACTTACTGCATATACGCATACCAATACACTGTACATAGCAAACATTGAAATAAACAATTCTTCAAAGAAACACTTGTCACAAACATGGTTCCAACATCATTATCATTGTTTTCTGTTGCCTCAGCCAGCTTATAAGAGACCATAGAAGCCATGTCTGAAACAGTAACCGCTGTCTCCGAAAATGTCAGGTAGGGTTGGAAGAAGAAGACTAGTTACAGCACATTTATAAAAACTAACCTGGCAAGCAACCTGCATGAGAGGCATCAAGATGTTACAGCTAACAGCGTGCCTATATATATACACTTACCTACCTTACATACACACAGGTGATCAGGTGTCACACTTTACAGCATGCCTATATCTATACACTTACGTACCATACAACATATACACAGATGATCAGGTGTCACACTTTACAGCATGTCTATATCTATACACTTACCTACCTTACAACATACACACAGGTGAGGTGTCTCACTTTACAGCATGTCTATATCTATACACATTACCTACAATACAACATACACACAGGTGATCAGGTGTCACACTTTACAGCATGTCTATATCTATACACTTAACTACCATACAACATACACACAGGTGAGATGTCACACTTTACAGCATGTCTATATCTATCCACATTACCTACAATACAACATACACACAGGTGATATGTCACACTTTACAGCATGCCTATATCTATACACTAACCAATACCATACAATATACACACAGGTGATATGTCACACTTTACAGCATGTCTATATCTATCCACTAACCAATACCATACAACATACACACAGGCGATATGTCACACTTTACAGCATGTCTATATCTATACGCTTACCTACCTTACAACATACACACAGGTGAGATGTCTCACTTTACAGCATGTCTATATCTATACGCTTACCTACCTTACAACATACACACAGGTGAGATGTCTCACTTTACAGCATGTCTATATCTATACAGTAACCAATACCATACAACATACACACAGGTGAGGTGTCACACTTTACAGCTTGCCTAAATCTATACACTTGACCTACCTAACAGCATACACACAGGTGAGGTGTCACACTTAACAGCATGTCTATAGCTATACACTTACCTACCATACAACATACACACAGGTGAGGTGTCACACTTTCCAGCATGTCTATATCTATACACTAACCAATGCCATACAACATACACACAGGTGATATGTCACCCTTTACAGCATGTCTATATCTATACACTTCCCTACCATACAACATACACACAGGTGATATGTCACCCTTTACAGCATGTCTATATCTATACACTTCCCTACCATACAACATACACACAGGTGATATGTCACCCTTTACAGCATGTCTATATCTATACACTTACCTCCCATACAACATACACACAGGTGAGGTGTCACACTTTACAGCTTGCCTAAATCTATACACTTGACCTACCTAACAGCATACACACAGGTGAGGTGTCACACTTTACAGCATGTCTATATCTATACACTTACCTACCATACAACATACACACAGATGAGGTGTCACACTTTACAGCATGCCTATATCTATACACTTATCTACCATACAACATACACATAGGTGAGGTGTCACACTTTACAGCTTGCCTAAATCTATACACTTGACCTACCTAACAGCATACACACAGGTGAGGTGTCGCGCTTTACAGCATACCTATATCTGTACACTTACCTTCCATATAACCATCCTCCATATCCAGGGGTTACGCTCACTTTCACTCTCTGTGTCCCTGGAATATGTCATAGCAAAATTGAAGGCTCAATGTGCGCCACCTTGTTGATGAGACAAGACGACTAGCTACGTGTAGATTTTTTTATTTATATTAAAATAATTTCGCGGTCTCGTAAAGGTAAAAAATGACTGGCTTTGATTAGTTGGTGTCTCTCCTTTGTATTCTTCAAAGGACAGGTACCAGCCTAGCGATTGGTCATTTGTTTTACCGGAGACCAATCAAACAGCTTTCTTCGTGCCTTCAATTTTGCTATGATATAATTCCAGGGTCACAGAGAGTGAAAGTGAGCGTAACCCCTGAATATGGAGGATGCCATAAAACATGAACACAGATGAGAAAACTTTTATCTATATTTACCTACCACACTGCATTCATAGAATGAAGAGATAAAACATTAAGGACGTTACATATTTTAGTATTACAAACCCTTAAGAATGATTGCTTTTCCTAAGCAGTATATATAGCATCATTAACAGTGTTACCAAGCTCCATTCAGATACATTTACATGAATGTAGTTTTGTGTAATGATTGATTAAACATGGTATGTACATGTATTTGAAATTTGGTTGGTCACCCTGCTTTTTTCCGATTAATAGCATGAGTTTGAATGCCATAATTCATCAGTCAATTGAAATTATTTAATGATGTACATGTTTTCTATTGATTTCTATTTATCATTAACCAAAAATGCTATCTAGGCATTGTTTTTCGAGACCAATTTCTGTCTGAGGGATTTCTGGTAATTTAAGTTAAAAACTGAAAGAAGGAATTTTACAAACAAAATAGCTTAAAGTACAGGTGGTCATTCCAATTCAACCAGACTGATCACCTACATGTATATTTAGCTTCATGCATTGTAACACCTGTGTTTATAAGCTTAATATCTAAGCTCTGAAACATTGCACCAGTATGATATGCACTAAAACTTCACCTGTTTGACTGCATTTTAATATTAATATATATTTCTCAGTAATGACCTCAGAATGAGGTTTACAAAGTTTCACATTTTAAATGATCAGTCAAAACGAATTTAGATTTTTTTATTGTTATGTTGGCTGTAATATAACAATGGATACTTTTATGTCATGATCAAGTCTCATATATGTAGGTTGTCCTCCTCAGTTCTTTGATTTCAATTTTTTTTACATAACAGCTGTTGACACTATAAAACAAATCTACCCTGATTGGTAGACATTAAACAACAGTTTACCCTGATTATAGGACATTATTTAACAGTCTACCCTGATTGGAGGACATAATGTTTCAGTCTACCCTAATTGGTAGATATTATATATGTATAACAGTCTACCCTGATTGGTAGATATTATATATGTAACAGTCTACCCTGATTTGTAGATATTATATATGTAAAAGTCTACCCTGATTTGTAGATAGTATATATGTAACAGTCTACCCTGATTGGTAGATATTATATATGTAACAGTCTGACCTGATTGGATGATATTATATATGTAACAGTCTGACCTGATTGGTAGATATTATATATGTAACAGTCTACCCTGATTGTTAGACATTATATAAAAGTCTACCCTGATTGGTAGACATTATATATATAACAGTCTACCCTGATTGGTAGACATTTTATATATAACAGTCTACCCTGATTGGTAGACATTTTATAACGGTATACCCTGATTGGTAGACATTATATAAAACAGTCTACCCTGATTGGTAGACATTTTATAACGGTATACCCGATTGGTAGACATTATATAAAACAGTCTACCCTGATTGGTAGCCATTATATAAAACAGTCTACCCTAATTGGTAGACATTTTATAACAGTATACCCTGATTAGTAGACATTATATTAAACAGTCTACCCTGATTGGTAGACATTATATAGCAGTCTACCCTGATGGGTAGATATTATATATAATAGTCTATCCTGATTGGTAGACATTTTATAACAGTTTACCCAGATTGGTAGGCATTATGTAACAGTCTTCCCTGATTGGTAAACATTATATAGCAGTCTACACTGATTTGTAGTTATTATATATATAACAATCTACCCTGATTGGAAGACATTTTATAACAGTATCCCCTGATTGGTAGACATTTCATAAAACAGTCTACCCTGATTGGTAGACATTATATAGCAGTCTACACTGATTTGTAGTTATTATATATATAACAATCGTCCCTGATTGGTTGACATTATGTAACAATCCTCTGTGATTGGTGGACATTATGCATGTGGTTGCCTTGAATAATGGACATTATGTAAAACAGTCTACCCTGATTGGAAGACATTTTATAACAGTATCCCCTGATTGGTAGACATTATATAGCAGTCTACCCTGATTGTTAGACATTACATAAAACAGTCTACCCTGATTGGTAGACATTTTATATATAACAGTCTACCCTGATTGGTAGACATTTTATAACAGTATCCCCTGATTGGTAGACATTCTATAACAGTCTACCCTTATTGATAGACATTTTATAACAGAATACCATGATTAGTAGACATTTTATAAAAGTATACCCTGATTAGTTGACATTATATAAAACAGTCTAGCCTGATTGGTTGACATTATGTAACAGTCTTCCCTGATTGGTAGGCATTATGTAACAGTCTTCCCTGATTGGTTGACATTATGTAACAGTCTTCCCTGATTGGTAGACATTATATAGCAGTTTACCCTGATTGGTAGGCATTATGTAACAGTCTTCCCTGATTGGTAGACATTATATAGCAGTCTACACTGATTTGTAGATATTATATATATAACAATCTACCCTGATTGGTTGACATTATGTAACAGTCTACCGTGATTAGTAGACAATATATAACAGTCTTCTCTGTTTGTAATTGGTTGACATAATGTAACTGTCTTTCCTGATTGGTTGACATTATGTAACAATCCTCTGTGATTGGTGGACATTATGCATGTGTTTGCCTTGAATAATGGACATTATATAAAACAGTCTACCCTGATTGGTAGACATATTATATATAACAGTCTACCCTGATTGGTAGACATTTTATAACAGTCTACCCTGATTGGTAGACATTATATAGCAGTCTACCCTGATTGTTAGACACTATATAAAACAGTCTACCCTGATTGGTAGACATATTATATATAACAGTCTACCCTGATTGGTAGACATTTTATAACAGTCTACCCTGATTGGTAGACATTATATAGCAGTCTACCCTGATTGTTAGACACTATATAAAACAGTCTACCCTGATTGGTAGACATTTTATAACAGTCTACCCTGATTGGTAGACATTATATAGCAGTTTACCCTGATTGGTAGGCATTATGTTACAGTCTTCCCTGATTGGTAGACATTATACAGCAGTCTACACTGATTTGTAGATATTATATATATAACAATCTACCCTGATTGGTTGACATAATATGTAACAGTCTACCGTGATTAGTAGACAATATATAACAGTCTTCTCTGTTTGTAATTGGTTGACATAATGTAACTGTCTTTCCTGATTGGTTGACATTATGTAACAATCCTCTGTGATTGGTGGACATTATGCATGTGTTTGCCTTGATTAATGGACATTATATATAACAGTAAGCCCTGATTGGTAGACATTATGTAACTGTCTACCCTGATCAGTATACAATTGTTTCATGGCTATTTGGGGAACAGTCAAAACTATCATCCCGAGGTAGGGGGAAGCCCTGGGGAACTGTTTGCCCGAGGCTGCTAGGCCAAGGGCAAACAGTTCCACAGGGCTTCCCCCT